TGTGGAATTGTAAATATAATAACACAAACGGACTCAAACTATTTAAGTACTTAAACAAAAACCATGATACCATTCAATTACATTATCCTCAGACTCCAACTAGATTTCCTGCGATACCAAATCAAGACCATAGTACAATAGATTTAGCCCTTACAAAAAATCTATCTATTCTTTCTGAACCTATAACCAAATCTTTATTTAACTCAGATCATAATCCAGTCTTTATAAGTATCTCAAACCCACTTGACGGCAATCCTCAATCCTACAAAAATGTTTCAGATTATAATAAAGCCAATTGGCTGCTCTATAAGAAAATAATAAATGATATCATATGTCACACCAGACAAATTGATAACAATGATAGTATAGATCAAGCTGTAGAACACCTAACAACTACTATTACTGATGCCATAAGTAAAACCATTCCATTGCGAAAGTCCACTTCAACACAAACAATTAGTTTACCTTTGGAAATTATATCCAAAATTAAATTAAAAAATCAAATTAAAAAGTTGTGGCAAAAATCAGGTGCCACGTTTCTCAAAGAACATTTAAACAGGCTTACTAGAATAATTACTGAGGACATTAGGGTTTATCGTAATAAAATATGGGCTGATAAACTAACAAATATTAACTATTATCCAAATAAAATTTGGTACACTGCAAAAAGACTGACTCAAACTTTTGCTCCCATACCATATTTACATACAAATTCCAATAACATTGCAACAACACCCGAACAAAAGACCGAAATTTTAGCATCTAACTTCGAATTAGCACATCAGTACAATCTTTCTATTACTCAAAATGCTTTTGAACAGACTGTTAGTTCCAGTGTAAGACAATATATAAACAATACTTATAACAAAAATCACAAAATAGAGATAGTAACTGTTGCGGAAGTTATAAATATTATTAAAAAACTGTCTAATAAGAAAGCTCCAGGACCAGATGGTATACAGAACTTAGCAATTAAACAGTTACCTATTAAAGCTTTTATCCTACTTACACGAATAACAAATAAAATTTTTAAAAATTGATACTTTCCTGTGTCATGGAAATGTTCTAATGTGGTACCAATATTAAAGCCAGGAAAACAACCAAATCTACCACAAATCTACAGACCTATAAGTCTATTAAATACAATAAGCAAAGTAGTTGAAAAATTGCTGCTTGTTCGATTTAATAAATTTTTAAGTGTTAATAATATCATACCAGAAACGCAATATGGTTTCAAACATGGGCATTCAGTTCTGCATCCACTAGCACAGCTAGTTGAAAATACTGTACTAAATTTTAACAAAAAGACACACACTGGTCTTGTACTAATAGATTTTGAAAAAGCTTTCGATACTATTTGAATAGATGGACTGTTGTATAAATTAATAAATTTACAATTTCCACATTACATAACAAAAGTCATTATTTCATATCTTAAAGATCGTACATTTCAGGTTCAAGTAAATAATAATCTTTCAAATCCTAAAAGTATAGAAGCTGGAGTGCCTCAGGGATCCTTGCTAGGACCAACATTGTTTAACACATATATATATATGATATCCCTACTGACAGCAAAACAAATACATTTCACATTCATCAAAATCAGTAGCGGTGATAGCTAACAAGCTACAAAATCACATAGATAATATAGCAAAATATGCAGAAAAATGGCACATAAAAGTAAATCCCATAAAAACGGAAGCAATAATTTTTTGGAAAGGAAATAAGTTGAAAGAAAAGCCTATAGAAATAAAAATTTTAGGACAAAAAATTAAATGGACAGATAAAGTTAAGTACCTAGGAGTAACGCTTGATAGGAAACTTAACTTTAATACACATATAAAAAAGAAATTGGCGCAAACATATGGGCTACTAAATCTTTTAAGACCATTATTGAGCACAAAGAGTGCATTAAATATGCGTAATAAAAGAAGAATATATCTAACGCTGATCAGGCCATGTCTGATGTATGCTGCCCCAATATGGAACATGACATCGAGGACAAATATTAAAAAACTACAAATTTTACAAAACAAATCACTGAGACTAATACTGAACCTGATACGTGACCCAACTACCGGACACTACTACTCAACAAAGCTCTTACACGAACAAGCAGACATACCGAGTGTGATTAACCACATTAAGAAAATGACGGAAAACTTCTACGAAAAATGCAAAGACCATACCAATAATAATATTAGAACCCTCGGACAGTACACGCCTGATATCATATGGTACGGCAAATATCCAATGCCAAACTACATTCTGGACAACACAAATAAGAGCATCTAATAATTTAAAGAATGTAAATTAAATATATATTTAAAGATTGTGATTTATTTTGAAGAATGTTTGAACTTTCTTTTTTTTCGATCACAAACCATTATTTTATTTTTAAAACAAAATGTATAATTTAAAGTGGATAGTTTGTAGTATTAAATAAGAGTAAAATACTTTTAGTAGTAAAATCATAAATCATGGTTGTTGTATATTATATTGTAATAAAACAGAAATAAAAACTAAAAAAAAAAAAAAAAACTAAAACGTTTCGTTGCACTCGAGTTGCACAATTCGGATGTCAAGTGTCTAGTTCAAATGAGAGTCAATCACTTCTGTCAGGCCTCTCGTTTGCACCATGCTTCGAGGTCCGCTGGAGCAGAACCTGATTCGGTCGTCTCATCTTGACTTTTCTGGATCGCGGACATCGGGAGATAACGGTATGATGCCTCTATTTTCCCCAGTTGTCTGCGGCTATTGGGGGGGCACTGATAGTCCAAATTTTTTTGTCCAAAATATTTTTCCAAAAAAATTTTCACAAAATTTAGTTTCCCAAATTTTTTCCCCCAAAAAATCAAAGGGTTTTTCCCAAAAAATCAAAGTCCATGATTTTTTCCCAAAGTTTTTTTGTCTCAAAATTTTTATCCCAAACATTTTTTTATCAAAAAATCATACAGCCCCTAGTTTTTTCCCAAAAGGAAACGAATCTGACTAACATTTTTCGCAAAAAATTTTGCTGAAAATTTTATGTTAGCGACGGTTACCATAACTCCAATGTTTTTCAATCTAATGTTATATTTGTTAGATAGTTATATAAGCAATAGTGTTATAAACTCGGTCAAAGTCACATAAATAACAAATTGTAAATGGAAGACAGAACTGATGACCAAGAGATGGAAACAGAATTCTGAAAAATTTAGGTTCGAAGAAAGATGAAATCAGAGATGGGGAAGAAAACAACGAAAATTATATAAAGAATTAAAAATAATAAAAATATGAATAATAATATTTATAAAGCATTCATCTTTCTTATATATAAAAATTAATCGCAAAATGTGTTGGTAAGCGCATAACTCAACAATTTGGCCAATTCTTTTTTTAAAATGTTCGTTCAAGTCCAAGGATGGTTCTTACGGCGAGAAAAAAAACGAATAATTGCCGGGAAAACCCTAAAAACAGTACTTTTCCTTTTCTCATACAAACGTAGAAACAATTTGAGCTTTATTGCTATTATATAAAGTTCATATTAAATTACAAACACTCACTGTATACTCCTTCAAAACAATCATGCCAATTTTGATAAATCTTTCTGATGTTTGTTAAAGAAATTTTCTAGGATGTATGTGATTATAAAGTACTGAGATGTATGTGCAATAAATTTATGATTATGAATAAGAAAAATAAAATGTCTACATTATTATTGCCAAAAAGCAGCTGAGATGTGTCAGAAATTAAAATAATATAAAATACAGTATATGTATGGCAGATTGAATGATATACATATAAACAGGATATGACAAATTAATTCACTTAAAATATGAAATTAAGTATTAATCAGGCCGGTCCTACCTTTAATGCGATCCATGCGAAAAATACGAGCGCACGCATTTGAGGGCAGTATTCGGATATTAAATTTTCAATAGTTTAGTATAGTTTTTTTTTTCAATATATAATTTCTTTGCATCTTTTACTAATCTTTCCATAATATTTTTAAAATTCGCAAAAATTTCACTATATAACAGCAAATGGGAAAGTAAAGATGAATACATACAATTCGGCCCTCATGATTAGGAAAAGTTTAAGATGCAATTTTGGATATCTAAAATAATAAAAAATTAAATTAATTTAATTTAATTTAATCCAACATGAAGTACCAGTGTTATGTTATGGTTATGGTTATGTTATACCGTTTAAAATCTTCAATTTCCAATATAGTGTAGGAATTGAGACTCATCATTTTATTTAAAGCAATTCTACATTTAACATCGCTCATACTATAAATGTATATGCATTTTGGCATGAAGAGTAATTTAAAAAACAATAATTATTATTTTTAGGTAAACGGTAAATATTAGTATATTATATTAAAAAATTGTAGTCATGGGTACAGGACAACGTCTGTCGGGTCATCTAGTAACTGAATCAAACCGATTTCCCATTAGAAATAAATTTATTCGATAATATAAATCTAAACAATAGTTTTAAACTAATACATAAGTATACAATAAAAATACAAAAACATCACTTGTTACAGTCATTTCTCAAAGAATGAAATTTACATCTTATAAAATAATAAAGATGCATCATTTTACATACTTCAATTAAATATCATGTTGCCATTTGAGCAAAACATATATAAGACATTACATATATTGAGATTGTAGCATCAATCACTGTATTATTTTTAATCAGCTCTGCATATTTACAAATATGTAAGAAATTTATATAATTAACGTAATTATAAATATATTTATATAGATATCAATTACAAAAAAAAAAAAAATGAAAATGTTTAATTAGGCCCCAAAATGGTGACAATTTTATGAATATACATTTATTACATAAATTCAAAGGTAATTTAACGTAGGTGAGAATAAATTCAAAGTCATCTAAATCAAAGTTGTATTCATAAAAAATGCAATGCAATAGGTATAATAATTTTCACTCGATACCTATAAATCATTCAATCAATTCATAAAATGTTCATCATTTAAGATTTCTTACACACGATGATCAGTTCTACGACGATCCCTCGAAGAACTTCTATGGCGTGCTACTGGGTATTCTGGTAATGGGGGTCCCTCGTAATACCTGTGTAGCACAGGAGGAGCCCAGTACATAAATCCCGGTGGTGGGGCACAAGGTAAAGGTGGCAATTGATGCTGCATAGATCTCATGTAATCGGCTACATAAGCTTCAGCAGCTGCTGTTGTACTAGTATATCGACTTGAATATCTGCAGTGTTTTAAATTTTAATTAGGGATTTGATAAAAAAAATTGGTGCATGCTAATTTCATATAATTATATTCATATAAATTCATATAATTATATACCGTGTAAATAATTTATATGTTGTAATATACAGTGTTTACTATTTTTCTTAACGTCGAACATAACATGAAGACATGAGAACATGAGTTGTCTGCATGTCTATGAGATGTGTTTGCCAACTCACATTCAAACCTGACATTTTTTTCATAAGTAGACAACTCAGGGGTCAAACGAAAGGCGATTCTTGCGATTTGAGATCTATAACCTGTGAGGAAATTTGATATCATACTACTTGATATTGATCTATCCATTATAAATTGTACGATCACGTTTATATAAGTTTAGATAAGAAGGGAAAAAAAAACAATCAAGCGGAGTTAGAATAAAGGACCTTATCTCACATTTCTTAAAATTATATAAACTGAATTGCAAAGTTAAAATCATTTATCCCAAGTATATAAAGTGAGTTTTAGAATTATTGCTAAAATTAAAATGAAAATCCTAATATTTAATTTTTTTTAATTAAAATTTTTTTTTTGCTTTTTCCAAAAATAATCGTTTCGTCAACACAAGCAACAGGTTTCTTGATTCATTCATGCTACGTTCTCTCAAAAACTGCCATTTTTGCACATTTTGCTCCGTATCTCTAAAACGGCTGAACCTCTCCTTACATTCTCCCCAGCATTACGAATTGAATGTTTTTTAAATCATTCAAATCGAATCCTCCGTACTCTCAAAAACTCGATTTCTATTTTCTGCACTCTTTGCTTCATATCTCAGCAAACAAATCAGCACGTTTCCTTATAAATAGGAATCGATTGCTTTTTGAATCATTCAAATCGGTTGACCGACGCTTCCAAAAACTTCGACGAAAAATTGTATCACACCCATTGAACACACACATCCATTTTTTCTAAGGTATGCCAACATGTTCAGAAAACTCTAAAACGTGAAGATAGGCAAAATTTTTCATTTTCAATTTTGTACCACAGCTATTTCGGCTAGCCGCGGCACGCAAAATAACTACATTTTTTTTTCTCTAACAATAAATTTTAAAAAATTTGAATAAAAGTACATATGAGCCGTTCAGTGCACACATCGACTAACTCCACTTTTTGAAAAAACTGAGATATTAGTGGGAAAGAACTTGGTATAATCATAACTTTTTATGATTATAATAATTTTCCAAAAGAATGAAAATTGCCACTGTGAAACGAAAATTTCTTTGACCACAGAATCCATAAGTCATTTATTTCAGAAGACATTTTGATTACCTCCATTCTGTAGTGTATATGTTCTGATTGGGTTGGATTTCGGGTTTCAAATTCATGAATTACGAATAAGAACACAGAACTGTAGGGTGTTGTGAGTCTCAAAAAAAATTCATCTAATTTTATAAAAGACATCGAAGACGTTACAAACTTTTAAAAAATAACATACTAAAATTCGTGTACCCGGCAAAACAAGAATATTAAAACTGCCTGAAGTTTATTGAAACTTGTTCAAAGTACGGAAATAAGAGCTAACTTAATTAAAAATAAATTTCTGGTCGGTGAAAATAGTTATTAATCTATTAACTCAAGATTTTGTTATTATTGAGTCACGTGCGAAATAAATCGAGACATAATTTTACCAGATAGTTGATACAATATAATAAAAACATTTAAGAAAAAAGCGCCATTGTAGTTAAGCCGAATGCTTCACTAAGATTTTTTATCTATTTTTTATTTATTTAGAACAATAAATCAATAACAGAAAAGTAACCATCACAGGGTGTCCAGAAAATTGGCCTAAAATGCGCTGAATTTAGAATAGAAAGGTCCAAACCCAATGATATACAATTTAAGTGTGACTGCAATGAAGATCCGAATTTAAAAAAAAAGTTTAAAGTTTAAAAAAAGTTGAAAACTTGATTAACTCCACAAGTCATATCAGAACTTTAACTTTAATGATAATTATTTTCTCACTATTAATAGTTATAAATCTTATATACCGTTACATGTAAGCTATATATGTATTTATACGTTCTAAAATATATTTTTCAATTTATATTATAACAGGAATTTTTAAAAGCAATATACATTAGTTTATCGCTTTTCTCCACTTTCTGACTTTCGGAGTTAGTCACTGTGTGCACTGAACAGCTCATATATTGATATGATCAATTAAAAAATTAATCCAATGAACTAAGTAAATTATTGAAAATCATTGGTAAATTATATATTTAATTATATATTTATCCTATACACAATTTAATATAATACGTCAAAACGTCAAAGTAAATAAAAAAATTGAAGTGCAACTTTAATAACAAATTAGTGTCACCCTTCGGGGGTGACGGTTATGCAGATATCCTCATAGTAAATGTGAATAGAATGCTCTATGATGATTCACAAACATGTTCTTAATACATCACGGAACAACTTAAGCTCAATAAAACAATTAACCAACAAACTGAAACTACAGCTGCAAATATAATAAAACAGTCTATTCTATTGAATAGTAATCAACAAATTCCATCGACAAGCAATGAACCTATGATCATGAAAAATATATTTTCTCAAACTGCGTCTACTTCTTGAAATTTTGCTCCTTGGCAATTTGTTACTAGCCCAAAAGAAAAGCGACCAAAACGCCTAAAAGGCGAACCGATTAAACTAAATAATAGATTTGAATTATTACCAAATAATGAACCAATAGCTCAGCCAAGATGTCCTACACCAACCAACAGATTATGAAGGTATGACTAATGTTATCAATAATTTCTTAGGCAATAAAAATTACATAATAAAAACTTTATCAAACAATAACATAAAATGTAAAGTTTCAAATATTGAAGACTACAGAAAACTTGTAAAATTTCTACCTATACCAATGCAGTATTTCATACATACGAGGTCAGTACTGAAAGAGCATATAAAGTTGCGTTGAAGTACATTCATCATTCAGCAAACATTTCCGAACTGAAAAATAAAATTGAAAACAAATGACATAAGGCCAGAAACATTACAAATATATTACGCTATAGGCAAAAGACTCCTTCTCAATATGTTTCACATTGATCTTGAACCAAATAAAAACAATTCAGAAATTTGTAAGATAAATAAGATACTTGACCAAAATATCCATTTTGAGACTTCGTTTATATCATCAGTAATATCACAGTGTACAAAATGCCAAATGTAAGTTCATACTAGAACAAATTGCAATCGTCCAATTATTTGTGTAAAATGTGGACTCCAGAATTTTGTGTAAACTGTGAAGAAGCTCACACAGCAAACTACAAAGGTTGTTCTACCTATGAGAATTTACTACAAAATAAATCTAAAAATGATTCCAACAACAAAAACGGGTCGAAACAATTATACAATTCACCTATAAACATCAAAACTGCAACCACTTCACGACGTTTTGATAGACTAACAAACACGGAGCACATGTCATATTCTAAAGCCATAGAATTCAATAGAGGCAAAAATTCAAATATAGAAAATAACAACTCTGCGAATAACTATTCACAATTCTTAACTGAATTTAAAAATATGTTTCAACAACTTATGCAACAGAATACCATGATTATTAATATGTTATGTACCCTCATTAACAAAATCATTTAGCTTTATTGTTAAATTTCTAAAAATAGGACTATGGAACTCCAACAGGCTCATGCAGCATAAACACGAACTAATATTATACCTCAATGAAAACAAAATAGACGTTTTTCTGGTAAGTGAAACTCATTGCACTAATTATTTAAACTTATTCATTCCTAATTATTGTGTATATCATACTACTCATCCAGATGGCACAGTTCACCGGGGTGCAGCTGTATTAATTAAATCTAATATATATCACTACAAACTTGAAAAATATTAGAAAGATTACTTACAAGCAACATCCATCAAAGTACAAATGTTATCTTTTGCAATAACAATTTCTGACTTATATTGTCCACCACGGCATACAATTAGTAATATACAATTTTCTGAATTCTTTGAATCTCTTGGAAATAAGTTTACAGTTGGCGGAGATTTCAACAGTAAGCACACATTTTGGGGTTCAAGACTGAATCCAAAAGGAAGAAAACTGTATGAAGTTATTGTCCAACAAAACTATAGTACTCTTTCCACAGGTACTCCGACTTACTGGCGAACCGACCCAATAAAGAAGCCCGATTTATTGAATTTCTTCATAATGAAGGGCTTAAACCCAAGGTACCCAAATGTTCATTCAAGCTACAACCTCTCTTCAGATCACTCACCTATAATTGCTACTATCTGTTCTTCAAATATCAATGTTTGTAATCCTTATAGACTACATTCGAGAAAAACAAACTGGGAACTATACCGCTGCAAAATAGAAAACAATACTGATCGCAAAATTAGTTAGTATTGATGAATTTAATAAAATCTCTCATGATGCAGCTTTAGCTGTTACACCAGAAACAACAGTTCAGCAGGATCAACCTGTCCTTTGAAATTAAACATTTAATCTCAGAAAAAAGAAAAGCAAGACTCAAATGGCAGTCAACTCATTTTATATGAATAGATTTGATATTCATTACTCATTATTCAAGAACAGTTTTCAAACCGAACCCAGATTACTCTAACGCAGCGGGCCTTAGCTCAAACATAATTCCTTTTCACAATTCAATGATCATAAACTTTTTTTCATTAAAGATTATAATTGAAGAGATAAGTAAATTAAAAAATAATAAATCTATAGGCTATGATTTAGTGATACCAAAAATGTTGAAAGAACTGCCAAACAAGGATTCATACTTCTAACATATATATTTAAATCAATAATTAGATTAAATTATTAGTTAACTCTTCAAAACTCTTTCACAACAAAACATCTATAGTAAAAATGACCCATAAAAGCAGAAAAGATGCTAATATGATTACCTCATGTAGACCAATCAGACTTCTGCCAATGGTCTCAAAAGTGCTCAAAAAACTTCTGCTTCGGCATATCTTAATTAGCGCAAATATATTTCCAGAACATCAGTTTGGTTTTCGCAGCCAGCAATCTACAATTCAACAGCGCCACAGAATCATAAGAGTCATCAACAATACTTTCGAGCCGAAACAATTCTGTTCTGCAGGGTCTCTAGATGCGAGCTCAATGGACTTTTTTTGAAGATGAGATCTCTACTTCCAAGTGGTTATTATAATATTCTAGAATCTTATCTCGCCAACACTGAAACTTCAACATCTCATCAGATTGAGGCAGGAGTTCCGCAAGACAGTGTTTTGGCGCCATTTCTCTATATACTACTTCACTAGTGATTTTACAACTTTCCAATCAACTACAAAAGCCGCCTTTGCTGATGACATAGCAGTTCTTTTGACACATGCTGATGCATTTAAGGCTTCCCTAATTTTACAAAGAGACGAATGATTACAAAGACTTCTGGGACGCAAGTCAATTCTATCCATTGCCAATGATTTACAAGGTAGTATTGAAACCAATATGGACTTATGGCATAGAATTGTGAGGCTGTGCAAGCAAATCCAACATAGTGCTAATGCAACGTGCCCAATCTAAAATATTAAGGCAGATTAATGATGCTCCGTGGTTCGTCAGCAATGAGACCTTACACAATGATCTTCATATTGAATTTATAAACAAAGTTATACAAATCAACAGTGTTAAACATTTTCATAAACTAGAACATCATACAAACTCTATAGACACTCAGCTTCTTGATACACCAATTTCAAGAAGACTGAAGAAGAACCTGCCCAAAGATAATATATGAACAGAATAGTATAATCATTTATTGAAATAATTCTCTAACTATCAATATAATATTTATCAGATTAATTTATATGTGTGTGTGTATGTGTGCGAGTGAATGACATAAGCCAAATAGCTCATAGAATTGTCCTATATTCTGATTGCTATTGAAAATATAATATATATATATATATAATATATATATAGGTTCAAAGTATATTTTAAACCTAAAAATTTTTTTTTCGTTTTTTGAATATTCTAAAGAAGCATAACCCCTTAAGACAAGTCGCATGAGTTTCCCAACATGTACTTCAATAATTTCTTTGGTCAAAGAAACGGACCGGCGAGTTTCTGCCAAAAACCAATCAGCACGATTTCTAAATTATACATGACTTTTTCACAGAAATGTTATCGAAAAATATGCACTTCTTTGAAAGCTAAACAAAAATGCACGGCTGATTGTCTTGCGAAAGTAATCAACGCGAGGCCTTACAGAGTTCCATTAATGGCTTTTATTTTAAATTCATGCCATCGGTTCAAATTGCTTGAACTGCCTGTACCGATATATATATATTTTTTTTAGTTTGATTTTTTTTAAATTTGAAATTTTACCCAAAGAGATGAAATATCGAGACACGTAATGGCTGCATTTTAGTCTCAGGGTTAAACATTACTAATCTTCTAACGTGCAAGCATTATAAAATGTACCCATGAAAAAAATATCTATAAAACTTACATATCTATAAATTTGTAATGCATATGTCTAATGATCACTTTTCACTGCCAAATGACATTATTTGTAACTTTTATTTATAAGATCTGCAAAACGGCTGGACTTGCCTTCCTAAAAATTTAGTCAATTCTTCATTCCGTTAATAGAAGTAAAATGCTTTTCGAATCGTTCAAATTGGGCGCTCCGTTCTCTCAAAAACCATTTTTTGAGCTTTTTGCCCCGTATCTTCGAAACGGCTGAACCTGCCAAAAACTAATCAGCACGTGTTCCCACATCAATAGATATCAAATGCTTTTCGAATAATGGAAATCGGTTAATAGTACATACATTTTCATCATTTTTTTCAAAGGTATGCTAAGATGAAACAGGAAGTCTTGAAATGTAGTTATGTAAAAAATTCCATTTTTGATTTTTTGCTATTACTACCCTACGGAAAGTTAATAAGAATCTGTGTCAGACAATCATAAAGTCCGTTTTTATAATTTTTGTTAATTTTCGTGAAATCGAAAATGAAAGTTCGAAATTATTAATGTTCAACAATATTCTCATTCATTACATATTGTTTCATATAAGCATACCTATTGTATATATCATATTCATATACTTTATTAGTTGTTGTAATTTTATTATCAATATATATCAACTGCCAATATTGAATTTAAACCTTAATGTTATCAAAGATTACATTACTATAGCTTCAAAATTTATCCTAATAATTTTGAACTATATTTATTTTTGAAACACAGTTTTTGTTTTTTGTGAAACAGAAAAGTTAAATATCTTTGAATGTCTCATTACACAAACTGTGTTCAAAAATTCATGGTAGTGATGCAATATTAAATTTAATTTTGTATGCCAATTTTGTAAAGCACGCATATCTAAAGACGTTTAAAGATTTATTTGTTATGGTATTCTCATCACTAAAACCGTACAATTTAAGAAGGAAGCGTTCTCCAGCTGTGGCAATGATCTCTGGATCAGGTTTTGGATTTTTAAATATATAAATAACTTCATTTAGATCTTGATTTTTACTATATATTTACTAAAACCGGGAAGAGAAAAAATTTTGCAACAATTATATTCTACAAGTAGCCTAATAGATAAAACAGCCGCAGATCATATATTGTTTTTGCACGTCTTCAGTGGATGCGATACAACTTCAGCAATTTTTAATCAAGGTAAAATAAAATATATAAATACACTATGTAAAAATCAAGATCTAAATGAGCTACTATCCGGAAAACTTTTAAGGCAACAGCATTTTTTTGCACCAAATGAGCTACTATCAAATTGCCTTTATATACAATACCTGAAATAACTAAAATATTACTAACCTGCTAGAGGAATCCCTGCGGTAGGGGCTGATGCTGCGAGCCCTTGCGCGGTTATGTCGTGTCGTTAGATACAACTTTCGGCCTCTGGCATAGTGAGGGGGTCCACGGCCTCGAAATTTAGATCGGGCTCCTAATGGTTGACGGTATGTGCTGTAGCTCCTAGAGTGCAGTCGTTTTGAAGCCTCTTTTGAACGGCGCAGGATTGGAGTCATTTCAATACCTAAATAATAATAAATTATCAGATCGTTTTATTGATAATTATAATGCAAAATAATATCTTCAACTTGATTGGTTATAAATATATAAACGATTTTATAAAATTTTTTCTTTCTGATTTTTTTTAAAAATGGAAATTATTTTCATTATATCTCAAAAAGAATAAAAGATACGTATAAAAGCATATAGATAAAAATCAAAGGGATGTTTCTGGCTTATTATTGCTTTTTATTATTTTTCTTTCACACAAAAATTGACAGAGTTATGATGGTTCAAAGAGTGCGCGGCCGCGCAAATTGGAAAAAAAGTTTTTATAAAATCGTGAGTTTTCTGAAAATAATTTGTACTAAAGTAGTGAATCTGCTTGAATCCATCAAGATATCTATAATGAAGTGAATTCTAGATGGAATGTGAATTACTTTAATTCTGGTGGAAATGGCGCTCATTAAACCATATGATTTAACAAAAAAAAACTTCGTATACGCTTCTTATTTGCATGATAGCTCACTCATTTTACACGCAAAAAAATTGTAACAGCACTCATTTTAAAGCTTATGTTGAGCACTATAAAACCCAATTTCACTAAAATGCATAAAATGCAAAACCTCGACACTAGATGGCTTTAAATACAACAAATAAATCTTGAACGAAAGAAAAAACGACTTTGCTCTTTCAAACCTTGCTTAATATTTTTCCTAGAACACTTTATGTAATACCGATTTATTAAGATTTTTATTGACATTATTTTGTTCATTACATGATTTTCGTTAAAATGTATATTTTAGGAGATAATTGCAAATAAACGAAGAAAAACGCCAAAAATATATGAATCTTTAGTGGCCAGCAACTTGAAAAGTATTAGTTTTTTTGAAAAACTATAAAAGACATTTTTTTCTTATAATTAGTTCTTCTATCGATTTCCGACGTTATTTTGAAAAAATGTAATTATACAATTGAGAAGGGGGTGTCATCCCCCCGGGGGGTGATGGCGCAACCCGAATTGTTTTCACTTTTGAACTTGAGGGTAAGATGAACCTAATTCCAAAATTTCATTCAATTCGGAGCACAGTAAAAAAATTCAGAGGTTATACCCTTTTTTCCTCTCCGTTTACTGCACTATAAGATAATTAATCCAAGTTGATTGGTAAATTCTACAGTAACTAGTAATCATATTTTAAAATTATCAACTCAAAAAGCAGATAAACTTGGAAGTATACAGAAATATTACAATACTGATATAATTATCACTTATTAAGATACACATTCAGTTGCAGAAATAAGAGTTTCTCAACACTAAAAATTACATCAAAGCAAAACTTCATTTTAGTCACAAAACAAGTTAATATTGTCGAAACAGAATATATAAAGTTTTTGAAGAGACTATCAAAACTCAAAAATAAACTATCACAAATGAAATATATAACAATTTGTAACTTTGCACACTCAATTTTGTCATTTACAAAATTAATAAAAAAAAGCCAAGTCTACATTATTAAAAAATGTATCTTACATCTTCCACCTATTACTTTTATATTAAAATATAGAAATATTTTAAATGCATTATTAAATTTGTAATTTCATTATTATCATTGTCCAAAATATTTGTCCACTTGATTGGACATAAAATAATTAGATGATGTCTAATATCAAACATATTCATAGAAAGATTATTAACACATTATTGAAATATTCATAAAATAATAATTTTGAGGAGTCATAAAAATAGCTACCAAACATGGTGCAACTATTTAAAACATCAAACAATATTTAAAGTTATTTTGACAAAAAAATATTAATATTTAATGCTGAAGTGTGTTTAATAATCTAGTTACTTTAATTTTCTTTAACTTAAGTTAAATAAAGATATAAATTGGATTTCTTCGATTTATAAATATTACCATCTTTTATCTATTATAACCATATTTATAATTTAAAATATTACGTTTCTTCTAAAAAAAAAATCAAAATGCAATGAAATGAAATCACAAACTTAATATTGTTGTAAAATTTTAATAAAGTTAGCATCAGAATGTAAAAAAACCAAGATCAAATAAAAAAAAAATGACTGCAACTGTAATGAAGATAATTACTCTGCAGCAATTTTCTCTCAGTACTCTAAGAATATAGTATTTTTGCATATATCAAATATATTTTTGCGAATATCAAATAATATTTTGCTTATTTCTTCAATTTCCTTATTCAAAATTATTTTAACAACTCCTTTCTAGCCCTTTATGATCACAATTATTTTCATACTTTATTCTCTTTTCGATTCTGCCCTCATGTATCGATATTTGAGGTATAAAAACTTTATGTCTCAATCTATCAAGACAATAAACAACTTTGAATACTGAACATTCTATTATCATGCTTCAAACAATTTGTCACATTATTATAAGTATTTTTTTCTCAAGTTTTTGTCTATCACATTACATAATTTTATTGTTTGAGCATTGTATTTTACTGTATTTACATAAATTAAACTAATTTGTCTACTGCAATAAACCTAATAATTATGAACCCTGAAGATACTATAAGCTCCCTAAAATGGATGAATGAGTAAAATTCTGATAAAATAAAAAAAGTGTAATAAAAATCTTATGATAAAATAAGTGTGTTATATCAAGTGGTACAGTATAATGTGAACATGATGCTGCTATATTAAAATTATAAAATCTAGCTGAGATGAAAGCACAATTCAACTGCTAATTGATTATCACATCAAATATAAAAACACAACAGATTACATAATTGACTCGCAAATTATGTTATACAATTACAAAGAAGAATAAAAAACAAATAATTACGTTAACAAAAAGACTGTTGATAAATAATATAAATGATGAAAGTTGTTCCTATTTAATACATAATTACTTTACTTGGTTTTAGATTTAAGGGGTAAAAGGTACTCAGAATTTGTAAAAAGGCAAAATTTGTTTTTTTGCATTTTTGTTAAGTGCAATATCTTGAAAATATTCTCTGAAAATTTCAAGTTGATCCAATAATTATTTTTTGAGTTATTCGACTCTTACCAGCGGAAGCAAGTGGAAAGCTTGATATTTATACTCAAGATTATTCTTCCTTACTTGCTGATGTTTTAAAAGCTGCTAAACTGACTTACAACGATTTTAGCAATTATAATTAACTTTCAAGATGTGTAGGTGGATTCATTCAGAATAATAATGAGAGTAAAGAGCTTCAACCACCTAGTAAGGAAAATATGCCCAAAACCCTGAATACTATTTCTACTATCGTACAAATTAGTGCATACATATGATTATTAATGAACCCTAGTACTTAATTGCGGGTCTGATTCATATCGGTATGCTAAAAAATTGAATGTTGCACGTGTGAAAGTGGCAGATCAGCGCGCAAATGAACCTTTTAGAAACTTCCACAATGACTGAAAAACTATTATTTGGCCCAAGAATAGATGACTCTGTTAAAGTAATTTAATAATTCGTGTTTCTGTATGGAAATCTAACGTGAAACTTTAAATGCGCTTATCTCAAAACAATGTTTTTTTGACTGGTGACAACTGTAATTCAAAAACCACACAACACATTTTAATGAAATTTATACAGCTTTTAGAATGCATAATAGACTCGGGCTCGATCAAAGTATTTTCTGTTTTTCAAAAATTTCGATCTTTTAAGACCATTGTTGAATTTTACCCAAAAATCTAGAAAAGAACTTCTTGGCGCCGCCATTTTATTACTTTTTGAAAAGAAAAAAATAAACTAGCTGTAAGTGGAATTCTGTCTTAAGGCAATTAAGGCATCATGCCTTAAGGCAAATTGCTGGAACTTCCCGTACCAAAAGTTATTATTTTTATAAAAACGATTAACATTTTTGAAAAAATATTACTTTGAAAAAATTAGATTATTGAGAAACTATAAATTTGACAAAAAATTACTTTTTTTTGAAAAGAAAAATGTTTTCTTCATTTTGACATATTTTGGAAATTCTAAACTTTTTTTCAAAGCAATCGTATTGCTTATTGTTAAAATCTCTATAAAATATCTGATAATTTAATGTGCATATGTCTAATGATCATTATTAACCGCCGAATGGCATTTTTTTACTTTTTTTGTTAGACCTCCGAAACCGCTAGACCTGCCTTAATGAAAATTTGATCAATTCATCTTATCAATACAAGTGAAATGTTTTTTTAATTATTCAAATCAGACGCTCCGTTCTCTTAAAAACCGAGTGACCGTTTTCGGCACTTTTTGCCCCGTATCTTCGGAACGGCTAGACCTGCCTTCGCCAAAAACTAATCAGCACGTCTCCTTATCAAAACGAATCGAATGTTTTTTGAATTATCCAAATTGGTTGATCCGTGTTCCCAAAATCGTCGATAAAAATTTGTATCCCCACACACATACATACACGCACACACACACACACACACACACACACACATACATCCATTTTTTCTAAGGTATGCCAAAATATTTAGAAACCTCTGAAACGTGAAGATATATAAAAATTTTCATTTTCGATTTTTTTGCGATTACTATAACTTGCCCTACGGGAAGTTAAAAAAAACTTCGATCCGGCCCAGGATTATCTATTTTTAAAACTATTTTTTTTTATCTGATCGATTTTAGACGAATCTCCAAGGACTTATGATTTTCAACGCAAGGACCTTGTTTTCTAACATGGTCAACACAAACACCTATAACTTTGGAAATGTTTATATATATATTTTTTGAAATTTTTGTTATTTCAAGTCAAAACCTTGCATAATACTGCCATATTTTTATTTTTGTAAAAAGACTTGACTTAATAACAAAAAGAAATACTGAAAATACTCATTTTTTTATGACTCTGAGTACCCCTAACTCCTTAATGAAGTTATGTTTTCAAAATCAAAAACATTATACTAATCAGGATTTCACATTCTTTAGAAATTTAGAGTAAACTAATTATAAATAGTTGAAGTTTCTTTGAAATCACTATACATTGAAAATTTATTGTTTTTAACTATTAAATTTTAAAATAAAACATCTTCCAAAATATTAGCATTGTGAAAATGAGTGGAATTCTGAAAAGAATTGCTGATATATTAAATTAGCAAATGTTGAAATTTTTGTAGTTCAATTATTTGTCACAGAATCACTATTGTGCAATCTGACTTCTCACAATTATAGCAGCATTATGTTCATACTAGATTTTTTAATCACTTAATAATCACACTTGTACTAGATTAAAACACCCAAAACGATAACAGACTTCCCGATAATTTTATTAGAATCTCCTATACCTTCATCTTGTGGAAACAATCTACAAAGTTCTTCAGCAACTCTGGGTTCGATTTCTTGTCCATCTCTGCCAATTTTAACTGGTTTGCCTTCGTTCCACGGATTAAATAAATGCAATGTAGAACTGAATGGCAACTCTTTCCTGCAGATCCAGTCGACTCTGAAAACACCTCCCAAAGCTTTTGATGATATACCAGGTGGCAAAACCCACGATATTGGAGTCACATCACGTCTAGATTCACACTGAAGTCTTGCAAATCCTATAATTATTTTGTTCAGTTCACTACATAAAGTCACATGGAGAGGAACAGTATTACTTTAACACTAAACACTGAGAGTACATATTTTTTTTAACAAATTTATGCAATAACACCTTAGTTCACTGTTTTGTTGTTCAGTTGATTCTAGAAAATACAATTATTTAAACACAGAAATATTTATCTAAACAATGGCATGATTAAAAAAATGTGCATATTCAATTCATATAAATTTATAACATATTATATAGGATAAATAAAATGCATATTCCGAAGATAAACTATAGTAACTTGCAACACGAAACTACTAAAAACAAATCTCTTTTTTTTATTTATTTATTTTATTTAGCATAATATATACATTTCATATATATCCATATCTCAGACAGGCAGGGATGCCATTGAAGTACTGAATATAAAAATTAAAAAAAAATATAATAAGCTGTGTAATATCATTGAACTTAAAAAAAGGTGCTTAATGATGAAAATGAAAATGAATTGTAAGTGGCCAAATGTACTAGTATACCAGAGATTTTTTTAAACCCTTTATTATGAAAAGACATACAATATTATATTATATTGAATAAAGTGACAAATAAAAATGATTTAAAAAGAATTAAATATAACAATATATGTCATTAATTCATAGTTTTTCATCATCGATCGCCAATATATTCTACAATGTATGCAGTTACCATAGTTTACCTTCGGAGTACCAATATTTCTATTATATTTATATTTAGAATAGGTTACCTGCGAATTTACCACTCTCTTTAACCGAAAACAACAGCAAAACGTTCCTGCATTCTCTAAAAGCCTGATTCAGATTATTCTCATTTTGAGGAAGTGTTGACCATACCCCTTTTGCCTTCGACAAAGTAACATTTTCCGCATTATTGCTTTTAATTACAAAAAACCTAGTATCACGAAATAAATAATTTAACTTTGTCATATATCCATATGATTTGGAACTACTCCTATGTTGAGGAATACGTCGTGGTTCGGGGCTCGGCGAACGTCCTCTCTTATGACCTGATCTGCGATTTTTCTCATCTGCAGAACTTACTGAGGTGACAGAACTAATACTGGGATTAGAATCACTATCTGAAGAACTACTTGATACTTCGCTTCTTGTATCAAAACTTTTATTTTCTTCGAATTCTTTTAATTCTGCTTCAGACTCCCCGACGCCGAGATTGACAGCGTCAGTGTTTACTTCCATATCGACAATGGAAATAGTCGAAATACGCGCACAATACGCGTTAAATTGCGTTTAAATAGAAGATCACAGACTAATGAGAAGAGTAAATAACGATATATCTATTAATTGTACCATTTAACGCACTTAAAGGTAAAAAAATAGGCTATTTGTTGTTATTCTTCTTGGAAAACACTTCGTATGAGTAGACAAACAGTGCAGGCAACATTGGCATACGAAAAATGTGAGACAGATATCGATATTAAGGCGAGACATACTACGAGTATAATATTCAACCATAGACCTTATACAATTTCATGGACTGCTAGTTGAGCGCATAAAAAGTGTCAAAAGATGTTCTATGGTATGAGGGCATACGAGGGTAATTTTGCGGCCGAGATATGTCAAATACGAACACGAGCTTTACCGAAATTAGTCGAATGCTCTCGATCGCTTAAATTTTACAGTTACTTAGGTTCACGAGATGTTTGATCGCTCTTGTTTTTTGCCTAAAAGAGGATAAAAATACGCGTTTTAAAATTGTTAGTAGCAGACAAAATCTAATAAAGAGTAAAATGTCTTCTAAAATGTGTTTGGTCTGTTGTAAAATGTACTTAATAAATAGAATGCACCACTTTCACGCTACTTTCACACGAAAATTGTGCTTTTCAAACACCAATAATAAATATATAACATTTAAACAAATATTTCATTATTGCTTTCTAATTTCCCATAATAGCTCTAGCCAACTGTTCTTATTTTCAGTAAATTTTATAATATGTAAAATATTTTTTTAATTTTTTTTCTAATTTTTCTTAAACACTTTGTATACCTAAAATAAATAAATAAATAAATAGTTCATTACATTCATTAGTTCAACATAAATTGATATTATATAATATTTTGCCAACAATTTCGAACACACGGACTTTCATTTGACGTTCAAGCGATCGAGTTTGACATATCTCGGCCGCAAAATTACCCTCGTATGCCCTCATACCATAGAACATCTTTTGACACTTTTTTACTTGAGAAATGTATGGGGACTAGCAGTCCATGAAATTGTATAAGGTCTATGTATTCAACACACACTAAAAATTCAAGCGTAGGGTGTGTTCGGTGTGGCAGTTTGTTACGATCCACAATTCGTCCAAACTCATTCGGATTTGTTACACTGCGCATGCGCCATCTCATGACAGTTTCCAACGATTTGACAAGGCGGTTTACATCAAACGCGACAAAACTTTCACAAACCGCCGAACGTTTTTTCAGATATGTTTGGCATAATTCTTTTTGTTTTTAACGTTTATTTAGGCAGTTTAATATTGATCTAATACTACTAGTTTTAATTAAATTATATTATTTGATATTTATAATTTTTAAGTTTTATTGTTTAATATAATAATATTTTAAAAATATAATAAATAAGTTTCTCGATATTTATTGTTATCAAATATATAAAACAGTTAATCAATTATTTATTTTCAATCGTTAAACTCCTGTAAAATTAATGAATTTATTAATCTCATTCTTTATTTGAGATTAGAAAAGTCTAGAATTGATGTTTTCAAAGAATCGGCAACCATGTTGACATGGTTTGGTTAATAATTTTTTAACAGGTATTAAAAAAAAATTAAAATAATAAAGAAAAATATTGACATAGATAAATAAACATACTTTACACCTTGATGAATAATAGATAGATATAAAAAGATATAAAAAAATAAATAACTTTGACAAAAACTGTATATGACCTAAAACTTAATTCATAGATAAAAGAAGAGTATATATATCCATAGGCTTATTTATCTATATCCATAGGTAAAAGAAGCGTATAGAAAGCATAGATAAATAAACACAAATAATAAAATCAGCATAAATAAATAAAAAGATAAAAAAAGCATAGATAAACTCATTGATAAATAAGCATGAACTAGTGGTGCAAGGCCTGTGCAAGGCATCGTGCATACTCTTCTTTTATCTATGGCATCGTGCTTTAAGGCAATTTGCTGGAACTTACCGAACCGAAATTCAGAATTTTTAAATGCTTTAAATTTTTCAGAAAATTTTGATTTTTTTTTTAAATCAATTGCGCTGCGTAGCTGATTCAGAAACAAAATATCAAATCGCGTAACGCCGCGTCTCAATCTTTTAAACATTACAAATTTTGGTACGGAACCCATAGAAATATAAACAGATATTTTAATTATTATTAAAATCTCTATAAAATATCTTGTAATTTTATGTGCGTATGTGTAATTATCAATTTTGGCCGGCAAAGAGCATTCGAGCATCCTTTTACTTTTTTGATGAATCTCAAAAACCACTAGACTTGTCTTCCTAAAAACTCAACTAATCCTTCATTATATCAATATGATAGTAACAATATAGTGATATGTTTTTTGAATCATTCAAATCGGAAACTCCGTTCTCACAATCAGTAAATTCCCATTATTGTTATTTTTCACCCCATATCTTCGTAAGCGCTAAATCTGTCTCTGCCAAAAACTAATCAGTACGTCTCCCCATCAATACGAATCAAATGTTTTTTGAATCATTCAAATCGTACGCTTCGTTTTCATAAAATCACAATTCTTGTTTCTTTTTACCCCGTTTCTTCAAATCGGCTGGACCTAACTTTTTCAAAAACTAATCAGCTTATTGTTTCCCCATCGAACACGAATCGAATGATTTTTAAATTATTCAAATTTGACGCTCCGCTCTTACAAAATTGCATTCTTGTTACTTTTCAACCTGTATCTTCAAAATGGCTGGATCTGCCTCTGCCAAAAACTAATCAGCACCTCTCTCAATCAATATAAATCGAATGTTTTTTTAATCATTCAAATTGGACGCATCCCTCGTCCAAATTGGATCGTATCCTTCTCCCTGTAATATTTAACCCCTCATAGATAAATAAGCATATCCCCTCCTCTTTTAACTCTCAAGTCAAGTGAATTTCGTCGCATATTAACTAAAGCATAGATAAATAAGTATAAAGCTGTAGGTGAAGAGCTTCATATTCTTATGTTTATTTATCTATGAAGAGCTTTATACTTGTTTATCTATGCTGTAGAGTGTGTTGTATTACAAAGTTTTGATAACAATACTAAAGTGTTTATTACTTAAAATCATCATTTATATTCCAGAAAAAACACGATCATTTTTAAATTTTAAAGGGGAAAAAGAAAGCATCAAATGATCAGTAATGTTAAAGTCATTAAAATCATGTGCCATGACTAAACATATAATCTTGTTTTATCTATGCCTTCAAACTTGTTTGGAAACACTACTCTTGCTTTATCTATGCCTTCAAACTTGTTTGGAAACACTACTAGGAGTTGGGGAATCACCGATTTACTTATATCTTCATCTCTTTGTATACGTCTCAAGCTTTGTATACACACGCACGGACGGATTGATTAGTGAGCGAAACAAATTGAAAATATTATATCTATATAGGCTCTAGTAAAAATTATAGACAAATTAATCTTCAATTTGGAAAATAAGCTAGGTTCAAAACATAAAGCTAGGCACCTTGTAAGTATTAAGTATACTTAAGTAGATTCTTAATTGTTGAGTTGGGCAATTATTGTCAATTTGTTTATTTTCAACAGGACAATGAGTGAAAATAATCTCACACTTGCTGAAATTGCTCGGTGCTTTAGGCTTGAAGAGAGTGAATTAGCTTCTCTATTGGTGTCTGCTGATAATGATGTTGCAGAGAGAGAATTAGCTTCTATGTTGCAGTCTGCTGATATCCTTCCACCTGAATTATCGAATCATAAATTAGAGAAGGAATATTTTATTACAGGAACTACGACTGAGGATTTGTTTATGAAACAAAATGAAGTTGAAAATTTTATTGAGTTACAAAGAAAGTTTACTGAAATATGCCCAGATTATGCTGACGAACTAACGCCGAACAATAGACTAAAAGCACTCGAATTTGCTTCAAAGGTAATTTATGAAGTTGGACCTGCCAGCAAAAACATGAAAGAAGTCGGTGACTGTGATACTTGGAAGTTTGCTTTTCCATGCGAAGGTGATGAAGAAGGGAAAATGGCCTTTGTTTACAGAAATAATTCAGACAAATTGCAACATACTGTAACCTCTAAATTGAATATTATTTTGTCAGTGAAACAAGCCAGCTTATTAGCTTTATGTACTTTGAACAAGCTTGCTGAGTTTGCATATAACACAGAAAACAAAATGATGCTCACACCTATGGCTCGACCTTTATTTTCAGAAGATAATATTCGTAAAATGGCATCTGATTTGAATGCTAACGTCACCGATGTTATTAAGACAATAAACTGTAGTGCGCAAGCAGGGGGACATGTTCTAATAGAATCTGAGCTGCACTGTTCGATACTTTGCTATTTAGTTTTTACCAAGAATGTTAAAGATAAGAAAGTGAAATTAGGTAATATTGGTAAAATGATAAACAAATACCTTGCTGCAGGTAAATCTTTCTCGATATATAAGTTTAAGGTGTACTGCAAATATTCAAGTGATGTTATTGCAGAACAATTGACTTATGAGATATTGAATAATTTGCCAAATCATTTGAGACGATGTAACTAATTGACAGTCTTTTATAAGAGCATCAAATGTATAATTTATAACATTTTTTTTTCAAAGTACAATTCATTAAATTTATAACTAACATTATAAACAGTTGTATACCAAACATTTTAAGATGAAATAAAATTGTGCTAATTTTTACAATAATTTCACATGTATTATATATATTTTTTATATATATTTTTTATGAAAAATTTCAAACTTAGAACACTTATAATTTATGTTAAATATAACAATACCAATTTGCTGTTATTTTTGCTTTAAGAAAATTTGCTTATATTATTAAAATTTTCTTAATATGTAAACATATTTTGCAACTTTTTATTAAAATTATAATAAACTTCAAATGCTATATTAACTATTATAACGAATTGAAAACATTAATTACTATTTGACTGTATATCATTTTGAAATAAAATCAACATTTATAAGCAATTCATATTTAATAAATATAATTTACTGATTTTATTGACTTTTTAACTTCATTAAACAAAAAGTAGAAATATGGTTTAAAGTTTACAGATTCCAAATACCAAGTTGCAGTATAAAATAAATTTATTCTCGATTAAACATATTGTAATTGTGAATTCGCAGAACATTGTCACTAAAATAAAATATAAATGAAAAAAAAAATATTATATATTAGGACCAATTGTCTGCTTTTGGGCTTTATTTTGGTAGTGTCCCAAATTTGTAAAAAGTAGGTTGAAATTATTATTAAACTAGCTTTTTTTTTTTTTTTTTTTTTTTTTTTTTTTTTTTTTTTTTTTTTTTTTTTTTTTGTATAGCGAAGGAAATGCTTTTATGCATCCCAGACCGGTCTTCTGTCTGGGTATGTCGGACTCGATACCGCCCTGGTATAATACCGACTAAAACCTCCGCTTTGCCCCTGCCTCTGGTCCCCACGGAAACCGCCGCTAGGCATTACTTCGTGGGGGGAGGATCTAGAATGTTACAATTCTTAACTTGTTATAAACAATGTTATAAATCATAAACATTTTACTTATCTTTTAAATGGGCGAAGTCCCATTCGCCCTTTCTCTCTCTATAGAACGCAGGTCCATTAAAACGTCTCTCGCAAATCTGTCTATGGCGTTCCAAGCAGCTTCACTTGTCAGCATCACTTCAACAACATTACCTGGGGTAATTGTGCGTCTCAATGTCTCCTCCACATCATCCCGTAGAGCACCAAATCGCGGGCACACGAAGAACACGTGCTCAGCATCTTCGATTTCGCCCAAACAATATGGGCAATCCGGCGAGCTATCGTGCTTGAATCGGTGTAGGTAGGCTCGAAAACAGCCATGCCCCGATAGCATTTGCGTAGTATAATAGTTTACTTCGCCGTGCTTGCGACTTAGCCAGACTTTGATGTTAGGAATGAGACGATGCGTCCATCTGCCCTTTACAGCGACATCCCACAGTCGCTGCCATCGGTCAATGCTGTTCTGCCGTTCTTCTAATCTTAACTTTTCAGTACACAGTTGTTGATGTCTTCTATGGTAAATTATCCGTCTTTCCTCTGCTAAGACTAAGAGAGGCACAGTTCCTGAAATGACGCACACTGCTTCCGCCGATATTGTGCGAAATGCGCAAGCAATTCTTATAGCACTGAGACGGTATAAGGGCCCTGCCATTCTCCTCGATTTTTGAGATTTAAGAGCATCACCCCATATGGAGATACCATATGTCAGCACTGAAGTAATAACTGACGATAGTAATATCCTTCTGGTTTGTTTAGGACCTCCAATATTAGGCATCAGTCGAGCAAGTTTCGTCCTAACTATTGACGCCTTAGCACTAACGTATTCCACCTGTTGATTGAAATTCAAACGAGCATCAAGCATTACGCCAAGGTAACAGATGTGAGGTTTTGACGTGATCTCAAGATTTCCTATCTTTAGCTTGATGGTCTCAATTCTTTTCCTACTAGTGATAAGAACAGCTTCACTTTTTTGTTGTGCTAATTGGAGATTCATTGTTCCCATCCACCGATTAATTTTTCTGAATGTAATATCGAATAGGCTTACGATGTCATCAATTTGTTTGGAGACAACCACTATGGCAACATCGTCTGCATATGCTACTAGTTTCACACATTCTGGAAACTCTAGTCTCAAAAGGCCATCATACATAATATTCCACAGCAAAGGGCCTAGAACAGAGCCCTGCGGCACACCTCCTGTTATATTATATTCTTCTGTACCATCGCTTGAATGGTACATTAGAATTCTGTCTGTAAAGTAGCTTGCGACTATATTGCATAGGTATGCTGGCACGTTCTTGTCACGGAGTGCATTCATAATGCAATCCCAGTTTGCAGAATTAAAAGCATTTTTTATATCCAATGTAGCTACAAGGCAGTACTTTTTGGAACCCCCCTTCCATCTGGTTCCAGCAATTGCCTCCTTGGCGGTATTAACTACCAAGTTTATAGCATCGATAGTTGATCGCCCTTTGCGAAAACCATACTGATTGTCTGCTAGGATTGGATCAACTACTGCATCTATTCTTTGGTGAATTATTCTTTCAAAAATTTTACCCGCTGTATCCAGCATGCATATTGGACGATAGGATGATGGTTCATCTGGTGGTTTTTTTCCTTTGGGAATAAGCACTAGTCTTTGCTGTTTCCATTTTCGTGGAAAAACCCCTTCTTTCAGGCATGTATTATATGCATTAAGAAACATTGTCGGAGATGTCATAATTGATGTTTTCAAGGCAATATTAGGAATTCCATCTAATCCCGGTGCCTTGCTATTACCAACGCGATGACAAGCTTCCATCAGTTCTTGCAGTGTTATAAGTGGAATATTATTCTGTTCTACATGTGTTACCTGGTAGTTCAAATTAGGTTGTCGTGGAAACAAAGTAGTTACTATTTTATTCAATAGTCGTGGGCAAGTTGGTGAAGGTATTGGCTGGCTTTTGAGGCGAGACATTACAGTCTTATAAGGTCTTCCCCATGGATTTTCCTCGACTTCATCCAAAAGTTCTTTCCAGCACCTAACTTTACTATCTTTGATAGCTTTATTTAGTTGTCTACGTGCTTGTTTATATTCCACTACCAGTTGTGCAGAATTACTGAGACTAAATCCACGCTGAGAGATCCTTCTTTTCTTTAGGCACTCTTTACGAAGAGAGCTGATTTCTTCAGTCCACCAGTGCACAGATTGTCTTTGATTTATGCCATGTTTACGAGTCATACTGATATCACAGGCTTCGGTTATTCTCTCCATCAGCTCTCTAGTATGCTCATCTGCGTGTTCTGAAATTATAGGTTTGCAATTTAAGGCAACTCTCATGGCGCTTTCATCAAAAGATTTTATTTTCCACCCAATGGCTTTAGATATTTTCGCATGTCTTCTAATGTTTCTATCTGTTGATATTTCCCAGATGATTGCATTGTGGTCACTAGCAGTGTAGATATCTAATACCTCCCAATTGCAAATTCCTCTGACGAGGCTATTGCTAACAAAAGTAAGGTCTATTATTGAGCTTGCACTGCCCTTTTCAAAGGTTGGTTTATCACCACTATTAAGTAAAACCACGTCAAGTGCATTGAAGGCCTCCAAAAGTGCTTTACCTCTTGCATTAGTCTTCCTACTTCCCCAGTCTACCGCCCATGCGTTAAAGTCACCGGCTATCGCTACGGGGTGGTGTCGTTTTGCATCCTCCACAAGACGATCTAAAAAATCGACAAAATCTGGCAAAGAAAGACTAGGTGGAGCGTAACAGCTGTATAAATGTATGCCATCTAATGATGCTGCGACAAATCCTGCGTTGCTATTGTTAACAACATTTTGGAAACAAAACTTGCCACAGGACCAAATAACGGCTTTGGTGGTACTGTCCGTTTCCCATGGCCAATCAGTTAGATGTTTGTAAGGTTCTGATAAGAGGGCAACATCAATTTTTATATCTCTTACCGTCTGCATAAGCAAGTCGTGTGCAGCCTCACAATGATTCATGTTTAGCTGAAAATGGAAACTCTGAAAATGTAGCACATCATGCCGGCACTCACAGATGTCCTCTATATAGGGAGGCCATAGAGAAAATAATGAACGCAAAAGCATGAAGATAATACAGCTAAACATTATTAAACTAGCTGTAAGTGGAATTCTGTCTTAAGGCAATCAAGGCATCGTGCCTTAAGGCAAATTGCTGGAACTTCCCGTACCAAAAATTATTAATTTTTTAAAAGCGATTAACATTTTTGAAAAAAATGTGCTTTGAAAAAATAAGATTTTTGAGAAACTATATATATGGACAAAAAATTACTTTTTTTTGAAAAAAAAAATTAAAAAAAAAATTTTTTTTAATTTTTTTTTTTTGAAAAAAAAAAAAATTTTTTAATTTTTTTTTTTTGAGAAAAAAATTTTTTTCTTTATTTTGACATATTGTGGAAGATCTGAACTTTTTTTTCAAAGCAATCGTACTGATTTAACTGCATAGGGACAAAATATAAAGCGCGTAAGCGCCGCGTCGCTGTCTAACGCATAAGCATTGGTACGGAACCCATAGGAATGTTAACAAAATGTATACTTATTGTTAAAATCTCTATAAAATATCTGATAATTTGATGTGCATATGTCTAATGATCATTTTTGACCGCCAAATGGCTAATTTTTTTACTTTTTCCTCCATATCTCCGAAACCGCTACACCTACCTTTATGAAAATTTTATCGATTCTTCATCTTGTCAATACAAGTGAAATGTTTTTTGAATTATTTAAATCGGACGCTCCGTTCTCTTAAAAACTGAGTTACCGTTTTCGGCACTTTTTGCCCCGTATCTTCGGAACGGCTAGACCTGCCTTCGCCAAAAACTAATCAGCACGTCTCCTTATCAATACGAATCGAATGTTTTATGAATTATTCAAATCGGTTGATCCGTGTTCCCGAAATCGTCGACGAAAATTTGTATCCGCACATACATACACACACGTACATACATACACACACGTACACACATACACACACACACGCACACACACACATACATCCATTTTTTCTTATTTATCTATGTCAACATGGTTGCCGATGTTGCCGATTCTTTGAAAACATTAATTCCAGACTTTTCTAACCTCAAATAAAGAATGAGATTAATAAATTCATCAAATTTATAGGAGTTAAACGATTAAAAATAAATAATTGAATAAATGTTTTATATATTTGATGAAAATAAATATCGAAAAACTTATTTATTATATTTTTAATTATTATTATATTAAACAATGAAAGTAAAAAATTATAATTAATAAATAATATAATTTAATTAAAATTAGTAGTTTTAGATCAATATTAAACTGCGTAAATAAACATAAAAAACAAAACAACAAAATAAACAAAAATACAAAACTAATCTTAATATTTTTGTTTTGTCTATATTGGTAACTCTTGGTAACTGTCTCAATGACAGTTCAAGAAAGGTATCAACAAAAATTTTACACATTCATTCTAAAAAATGTGTTTGAATAAGTCATTTGTCATAAATTGCACACGTGTGTATCAATAAAATTATGAATAATTTTTTTTAAAATTTCAAGTCTGAAGCCTTTAATTTCTAACTTAGAATTTTATTGTTCAAATTTCTTTAACGACCATGTCCTTATTTAAAGCGAGAAGTTGGTGGAACACAAATGTTTCTGAAGATGAAACAGAATCTTTCGATCGAAATTCATTGTTGATCGCCAGACTAACCGAAGGCGATCATGATAATTTAGTTGTAGGATCCCATTTAGGGGCTTTGAGAGTATATAAGGTGACTACAAAAAGACTGGATGATGGAAGTTTGTCTGCATACAAACCTACAGACTTGGTTCTGGAGAAATTATTACCATACCCCGTTCTTGGTTTAGGATTAGGAAAATTGGTTTCGTATGTTGATAGCCTGAGATCTGTTTTGTTCGCACTAAATAGCTTGTTATTTAGTTTGCACTGTTTGGTTTTAAAGGTATACCTTTATTACTATAAACCTTTATTACTTTATAACTATAGTTATACATATTAATAGTTTTTCATTTTTAGTCATTTGTAGACTATGCAGTTTGTACATTCAATATAATTCATTTAAGTAATAATTCATATATACCTATAATCATATTTACTAGGACTTTATACAAACATCGGGATCACATTATCTAAAATTTGTACATATAAGTTATTTGCATTATATTGATACATTCTTTATGTGGATATATTTCTACATCTTTGAAATATTGTTGTTCGGATATATACATTTTCTAAATTATTTCCAAATTTTATGTCGAAAACCACATGCCCAACTTAAAATAATGCCTAAACATGCACTAAAATAAGTAAATGAATTACTTTCAGTTACTAATTTATTAATAAGTGCTAAAATAAAATTCACTATCAGAATCAATTTCAATGGTTGTTTAAATCATAATTTTCTTAGTCAGTTAACATCTTTTATTTATTTTAATATCTCATTGTTTTTGAAAAAAAAAAATACTTTGTAGATATTTCAAAATTTTAAGAAACTGAACGATGTAAGCAAATTATTACTAGTTAATAATTATTTAATAATAAAATAATTATTAGTTTCCATTAATTATAGTTAAGCTTTCATTCCATGTTTATTTTATTTTTATTCTTAATTTTTAATTAAACCATATATTAAATTATTTTCTTTGGTTGCTATTTATAAAAAACATCTTTTCAAATTTTTTTCAATTAAATTATGATATTATTTTTATAATTAATTAATTATGTTTTAGGGGATCTCAAAAATGGTTCTTATGTGTACTGCATCCACTACGAGTTACTGTATACTCTTTAAAATCATTAGACGGGATCACAGACCATGGTAAAAATCACTAACTATTCTAAAATTATTTGTAAGCTGTTAAATACTAATTAATGACATTCAATCTTTTTGTGTAATGATTAATATTGGTAGAAATCTTGAATTTTATTTGTATATATATATATATATATATATATATATTATATAAAATATGTTTTTATTAAGTGTAAGCAAATTGTTACATTAATACTATTAAAATTATTGGATATCACATTTCACAAAATAATGATTTTAAAATTCATCTTTGAATTTTTTTGTTACTTTTCAAGAATTCAAATGTACATTCAGTTTTAATATACATAATTATGTTCAGTTATATCTATTAAAACAAGTAAATTTTTTAACAAAGTTCATATTTTACTTACAATTTTATAAACATTTTTTCCTTGGTAAATCCTAAAATTTTTCTGTATTCATGGATTATATGCGGATTGCATACAAATTATATATTAGAATTTATTTTAAAAATAATATGACAGATTCAATAGATTTATAATCATTTATAATATTAATAATAATTTATAGGTGATCAAAACCTCCTCACTGTATGCTACGAACACATTCTACCGCAATCTGCTTATTCCATGGTAATCGGCCCTTTTGGAGGTGCATCAGGTCGTGATTTTATATGTGTTCAATCTCTAAATGGAATATTGAGTGTTTTTGAACAGGAATCCATTGGATTTAAATGTGTTCTGCCAAATTTTTTACTGCCCTCATCGATTTGTTATGTTATGCGCACAGATTCTTTTATCACTGTTACTTCAAATTGGTTCGTGGAATGTTACAGGTAAATTTACTAAAAATGAACACATACTTTTACCTGTCAATTTTTTTGAAACAACTACAGACAAAATTGTAAAACCATACTCATACATTTTTTTAAATATTTCCAGTAAGATACTAATAAGAGTCTTACTGTAAAAATCAGAAACACATTATATTTTATTTATTTACATATCTAATCACTATCCAATTACAATTAATGAATTTGTTAATTAATTGAATAACAAGTGCATTGCCTGAAGAGGAAGACAGTTTCAAGCTGTTATCGAATTTTTATTTTTATATTTTCTGATTTTATCTGATATTTCATTACTCTATATTATTTTTTAATTCATCAAATATTTTTCCTCTTTTTTATTTAATTTTGTTCATAAGGCTTAACTTAATTTCAGATTTATTACATAGTAGTTTAAAGATTTGCTTTCTAGTTTCAAACATCTGCTCTAATTTTTATAGATTTTTTCTTTGCGACTCTGTAATGATCTTATGATTATTTTTTATATTGAAATTATAAATAGCAATTTAATTAGCACAATTTTATAAGCTATTATGATGAGATTAAAATATACCTAATATTATTAAAAAAAATGTATAGGAATTACTCCGGTTACTGATTTTCTAATTAAGGCTAAGGCAGTTCATTTTTAAAGCTGAATGGATAACTTTTCTTTGTAACTCCTTTGGACTGAAAAATTAGAGATGTACTAAGTTTGGGCTGTAATATTTTTTAATTTTTTTATTGTTATCTCTATCTTAACAATATTGTACAACTTTAATTTACAAATTTTCAAATTTGGATTCTTTCGATTCAAAATTGCTTGAAACATTGAGAAAACATAAAATTAGCAAATCGGATTTTTTGGCAAAGACAAACTGTTCCTTCGGTAAGCTAAAAAATCGATCCGTCGAATTTTCATTAAAATATAAAATTGTGAAAAATATTTTCTAACAAAACATTGCACATTTATTACATTAGGTCACAACTCCCAATATACATTGCGCGTATATTACATTTAGTTAACATTTGTTATATAACTTTGTAGCAGAAAAAGTATAAAAGTAACATTTTGTTACATTATGGCAATATGTAGGGTCTCTTATATATTTTGATAATTTATTTTTCATTTTTTAGATACCAAAATATGTCACAATCTGAAAGTTCTGGCAACTTGACGCCAACATGGTATTACAATTTAGGAGAAGGCATCTTAAATATTATGGCATTACCATTGACTAGCACTGAGACTGTTATTGTGATTCTTGGCGAGAAAAATTTATATTGTTTGACTGATTTGGGAAAATTGAAATTTATGAAGAAGTTGGATTTTGTGCCAATATGTCTTCATGCATATGTCATTGGATGGTATTGGGGTAAAAATCAGCAACATACATATAGTTTGAATTTGAAAATTATTGAAATCAATGTTACAATTAAATGAAACTTTTCATTAAATAAAATTTTCATTTTGTCTTCATCTTAAATTATGTTTTTTGTATAACTTTTATTTAGCCTAAATTTTAATCATAACTTAGTTAATCGTAATGCATCTGTGAGCTCCCTTCATATTAAAGCCTATCTTTAAATAAATTTTGTTTATTAGGAATATTGTAACAGTTAGAACAAGAATATATATAAGTTTTGTTACAATTTTTTTTACTAATTTCTAACTATCTATTTTTTATCAGAACCCGATGCAAGGTTAATGGTGGCAGTTGCTTCAAACTTAGGAACGTTACTATTGTATGAAGGAACCAGTTTAAGATGGTCTGCGCAGCTGCCATGCATACCGGTTGCTATGTCTAAAGCTTCAGTTGCTGAACTTCCAAGTAAATGAATTTCTGTCCTTATTTTAGCATATAAACTCAACACATTCACATTTGACTTACTAGATAAAGGAAATTTAATTAGTAAACTATTTTTTCTTATAATAAAAAATGAATTGGATATGATTTGTTTGAAAATTCTTCACTGATCTCATGTGTTGTTAATTGTTTAATCATGATACATTATATTATACTTTAACAACTTTTTAGTTTGCAATATGCTCAATTTAGCCCTAGTGTCAACTTGTTTCATTATAGAAACAATTAAAATTTGGTAGAATAACAATTTCAACAATTAGAATACAAAATTGTTGTTCTTGTAGAATTATACTATTTTAATCATTAAATTGAATTAACATTATAATGAATGATGAATTAATGAATTAGTTATATTAATCAATATACATCATGGATTTAAAATGCAAAAAATATTCAACTTGATACTAGATTATTATTTAATATTTATTTATTTATTCACTTATTTACTTATTTAAAAATAAATTTGTTTAAATTTCTAGGTGCTCTGGTAACATTATCAGAAGATGGTCATTTGCAATGCAGCTACCTTGGAACGGAACCTGAATTGTTTTCTGCTCCACCTATGAGTCTGAAACCTATTGATTATGAAGAAGCCAAATTAGAATTAGAAAATTTACATGCTATCATTAAGTCAAATACAGATTCAGCAGGTATGTTAAATAAACTGCATATTATATGTAGAATTCAAATTTATGGATATCAAATGTAATTCATAATTTTAATATCTTTTAGATTTGATATTGATAAATACTACAGCAGAAAAGGAGATACAGATCAATATAAATATTGATTCAACTTTGAGACCACTACCACATAATGCACAAGAAACATTTAAACTTGATGACAAACCACGCTCGGTCAATTCTATGAGAATTGTAGCTAAAATAAAACCTAGCACAAATTCTTTTGAACAAATACAAGTTTCTGCAATGGTCCCTTCTCCTTTATCGCTTTTCAATTAATAGCATTCTATTTAGGAATGTTTCAGAAGAAAAAATGTTTGAAACTTATTGTTTACATTGATGAAGATAAATTTGGAGGCTTTAATTATACAGTGTTGAACTGAAAATTGTAGTATCCTATGTGAATACTCAAGGGCTGCCAAGGATATTACAAAAAACTCTTAGTATACCTTTGAATTTAGTGTACAACTTAACAGAGCCAGTGAAGGAAAGCCAAATTTAAAGTTACGTTGAATATCAGTCATCCAGCTACACCATTAAATCAACTTTTTCCAGGTAATAGAATAAGAATTACCCTTATTTACGAGCTAGGCAACTGATTTATTTTTAATCACCATACTTTTGTATTTATTTAGTTT